AGGAACTATTCGAGCCGTTCATGCCAGACTGGGGAGAGAGGTGTTGTAATAATGTAAAATATGTGAAAAAATAATGTGCTTTTCGAACAACCTAGTATGAGAGCCTGTTCTAGTACACCCCCAAAACAAAATCAAGACTTTGTAAAAGAGCATAATAGGACCCCTTTAAATTTGTCATACATTGTATCGGTCTTGCTTTCGACCAAGTTGATGTCTCTGGGGTCGAGTTCAGGAATCCACTTCTCCAGCTCTTCAATCCAAGGGTATTTCAGAGATGAAGGCACCACAATCAGCAGAGGCCATTCTTGTTTGAAGATATACGCCACCGAAATGGCCTGGATCGTCTTTCCCAAACCCATCTGATAACACAAATGGTCAGTGATTAGTGGACTCTATAAAAACCCAGTCGAATTAGAGTCAAGAAAAGCAAAACGCTCTTACCTCATCTGCAATCATGCACCTGCAAAACAGAAATGAAAACTAATGAAGCACATTGAACTTACAATGACCGACCAAAACACCAAAATCAGTTGTCTCTGAATAATTACCCTCTGCATCATGTTTTTAATTTCTTCCCTAAACCGATGTCCATAAAAGCACGTATTGATCCAGGCAATATTGTGAAAGCAGGGCTTTCTAGTCAGTGCACATTGCTCAATATAATTTCCTGCACACCTGAACTCAACAACTAATTTCGTGCTGGCAGCCGACGGCATGGAAAAACTCAATCCTGAAGCAGAGGCGTGTGGAGCCCCGCTGCGGCGTACAGGGGTTTATTTAAAACGCCCATTCATTTAAGACCCCAATAACCAACTAATACAGGCCTTGAATCAATCAAGCTGCTCCCCTAAATGAAATTTACCCAGCATCCTGAGCTCAGCATGTTATCGTTGAAGATATGGGCCACTTGAGTCCTAATCAATGCAGCAACACGACATTACAAAGATCCATAATGTACACTTTTGTAGCTTTTCATTTTTAATTCCTCGCTCCGCCCAGACGTGCACTCAGAATAACCGTCAACTAAAAAAATGACCGTTTTACAACCCTTTGAATTAAACAAGCTGTTTTTGTTACTGTACTTCACGAGTCGGCTGATATTTGATTGTAACTGGTTGATATCTGTCTGAAACTGGACAGTTCACAGAAGTGGTTAACCTGCCTGTTCCCATTTTCAGTATCAACCAACAGATTTTAGTTCATTATCATTACATCTTCAAATATTTTGAGTCAGTTTAAATATTTGAAAAGTATTTAATATAGTAAATATATTAATTAAATTATTAAATGAAATATAACAATTTTATACATTGAACATTTAAACATTAAAATATTAGTTTAATCAAAAATAGTAAAAATATAATTAAAATATATAAATATTATTATAAAATGCTATACAAAATTAAATGGCTGAAATATTTATTAAAATCATATCATTATATTTTCAAATATTTTGAATGTAAGTAGTTGAAAAGAAAGTAAACATTAAATTCTGAAATTAAATATTAAATGGTTAAATATGTATTAAAACATTAAATTTTTAAATATTTTGAATGTAAATATTCGAAAACAATTTAAGCAAATATTAAATTATGAAATTAAATGTGACATTAAAATATAATAAAATATTAAACCATTTCATTTTTAAAAATTAAATATGAAATAAATATTAAAGAGGAAATATCAGAAAAATAAAAAATACCAAAAATATTAAAATACACTAAATGTATTTTTACTTTAAAATGTTTAAAATATTTAAAAGGTTAATGTTTAAATAAACATTTAAGATTTAAAGGAAAATATGTAAATTGCATTTGCTTCAATTTGAATATTAAATTATGTAAGATAATAGAAATACATATCATAGCACTTGCATATTATTGCTCTTTTGTTGGTTTTTATTGCTTCTATTGTCATCATTTGTGTCCTAAAACTAAAACCAAAATGCGTTCTTGTTTTAGGACAACTTACAGTAGTCAGTCAAATGCTGACTACTGTATATATTATACACACACACACATATATAAATACATAGATGGACAGATATATAGATGTGAATATATATTAAATATATGAAGAGTTCATTTGCAAAAACCGATAACTCAGAAATCACGTTTTTTTTATTGCGCATTCCAAGTAATATCAATCAAACTGCAGTTGGGTTGTTTTGATTAAGTAATAATAACTTAAATACAGGTAATTTACTAAATTAAAGTTCACTGAAAGTATGTTTTTTTTTTACATATTAAAAGTTTGTTTTATAGCAAAAGCAGATAACGCCAACAGTCGTTTTTTGGCAAAAGCAGATAACTCCACATTTCATGTTTTAGAGTTTAAAAAAACAACTTGTTTAATCTTTGTAATCTCCTCAGATGACAATGTAGATGCCTG